GCTGACTTATTCCACCATCTGCTTGACCAACTATTCTTCCTCTAACAAAATCTGACAATTCGAGAGAACCTTGAGCTCTAGGCATGTTGTAGCACAAGATAATTAGTGTGCGGTCCATTTTCATTTATATAGTGCTCTGTGAACACAAATTAGTTAGCATAAATCAGTTAAAGGACGAAAAATTAGGTGTCTATTTACTTGTGACCACTCAGTGTATATATTAACAGGTATTTTCCTAATATTGCCTGGGCCTCCAATAGTATAATAACATGTTTCAACATGCACATAAAGGTTTAACAAGACGAAAGTGTGAAAATTAAGATCCCAAGAGTGATAAAGATGTGTGGAGAACATCTTTTGTAAATTATCAAATCTCATCTCTCCTAGCAATTATATTTACGTCTATTCCTTGCCAATCACCCACTTTTCCAAAGATAAAGTTAACTCATACCTAGACTTACTATGGCTTCAGTTTGGATCAGCCACTAATATCAGCGCTGATGATCATACGTAAACATACCCCTTAACATGCTTTTGTATATGTTGCTAATACTGCATATTCTCTTAGCATATAATCTTACATGCGATTTAGTTACATTGTGTATATTATTTGTGTTTTCCTCTTTCATTTAGTATATTCATTAATAAGTATATAGATAGCTATGCACAATATTTAAGACTTTAGTTTTAACCACCGTTTATTTCTAGGAAGTGGTGTGTAATTTGTTAGTTCACTATAAAACATACAACACTCACTTATTCTGTATTTTTCAGGATTTGATACATTTTCTCAGAAGCGCCATGGAATGTTTTTGGATTATCACAGCGCTGGGTTTCTAGAGTGTGCGACTGAAGTAGCACGCTACCTGGTGGCGTTGGAAGGCTTAAATCTTAAAGATTCATTGCGACTGCGCCTCATGAGCCACCTTCAGTGTTATTCAGCGCAGAAAGATCTAGCCGTGAAGTCCGCAGCTTCCCACTGCTCGTGGAATACTTCATCTTCTTTACCATCATTTTCTTCTGCACCTCAGAACCTCCCTCAAACAGTAGTCCACCCTACTGGTTATAGTGTACAAGTCTCGTCCCCTCACAACTTAAAAGTAGTACCTGGAACTTCGTACCCGTATTATAATTCAAATTTTGCCCATTCTCTTTCATAAGACATGAAGTCATCGTACCTTCTTCCGCCACATCCAAAACAACAAATATCATTAAACTCCAAGGCCTCCATGTAATCATTAAACATCCAGTCTTCTATTGCTTCTAGCAATATTCCTAAGATGACATCTTTTCCTCAGCTCCCTTTAATCCAATTTCCTGAGACAACAGGCGGTTCATCAAGTGATTATGAGTGGTTAAGTGGATCTCCTTCCACGAAGATTTACAACCCCTGGGGTGCTGAGCTTGCTTACTGATTATTGTTCAATTCTAAAAATGTATGAAAGAGAGTAATTTCGCACCGTAATGCATGCCAGATATTCTCCAACTGAGTGGATGCGAAGCCTTTTGATATAATTTCAGTACTGAGTGAACAATGAAAACTTAATGTGAAACTTTGCAAATAGTTCACCCTGTAAATACAAAATATATATATATAGTGTTGCACAACGTAAGTTACTCGGTTTTATTTCTTATGGATCCATTATTTATTTTTGCAACACCTGTTAACAGGAATATTGAGATATCCTACAATTCTATGGATTCTAAAATAAGTTTGATAATAAACATCTAAATCTAGTCTGTTTAATTATTAGTCTAGAATATATTCTTATTTCATTTAAAGTTAAAAAATGTTTTAATTTAAGTTTTATCTGATATTTGTTAGATATAATTCTGAGAAATTAAGATAATAACAATTTCTTGAAAATCATATTACAATTTCTTTTGTTTCAATTAAACAAGTAAAACAGTAATCACGAGGAGAAACTACAGCAAGAAAACACAACAAAAAAGGTAAAATTAGTAATACGAACATATTAATAAATGTATAATTCAAATGAAAAAATGCACGTTGTTCAGTGTTGGAGAATGCTGTTTGATGTGGAGGGTTTCTTTAATCAATAATTTCTCTATCCTCTGCAATTATAATGCAGTTTTCATTTAAATTATAATTTTTTTAATATGTTTGTATTACTAATTTAACCTTTTTTTTTTGGTTGTAGTTTCTCCTCGTGATTAATGTTTTATTTCTTTTGTTTCGTTTCGAAAAACAAAATCGCAGATGTTCAAATCCAATATTCATGTTGGAAAGTCCGGGTGGATCAGCGGTAAGTTTACGAACTTACAACGCTAAAAAAATTTGTGGTTCGATAAATAAAACAAGGAGTACCATTCATAACTGTATTTCAAATTTTACCACATTTAAATTGATTTATATTTTAATTGCAATCGTTAATATATTATTTGATTTTGTAACTTGTATATTATCCATTAATTCAGTGGTACGGTACGGTAAAGCAAAGATATGTAAAATAAAAAAAAAATATGTGTAGTAAATAAATATAATGCTGATTGTGTTCGTTCCCTATAATCGTCTATTTCACTGGGCCGAGATAGATAAATAATACTATCTTATAAATGGTAAAATAGTAGGTATGCTTTAATTAAAAGAGCATCTATCGAAGTCGTTTTGAAATAATTACTGGCAAGGACTTTTTATAATCAAGACTGAGTTTATCATTGTAAAGACAGGATGCTAGATAATCTACAAATTATTGTTGCGTATGTGCGTGAAACGTAGGTTTTTAACGGAGATGTTTCTAAAATAAATGGTTTTTTTTTTTGTATTCATATGATCTGCATACTATAACGCACTCAAAACAATCACTGTATGAACCTGCATGTAGGTTCAAACTGTGTTTCAGTTCCTCATTTACTATAAACACAAGTTTCATATTAAATCTGTGTACCACATGAGCACTGTTAGGATCACGCGAATTTCAAAGTACACTACAGACTTCGTTTAGACTAAAAACTTATTAATTAGTTTGAATTAGTTAATAATATAATTAAGTAAAGTGCAAATTAAAAAAGCAACAAATCTGATATGGATATTTTCAAGTGACATACCAAAGCTTTGTGTTTCATAAATACATTTTTAACACCATATAGTCGAGCATTCCTCCTCAGATGCTATGTTTATACGGGTTACATTGTTAAGGCGAGAATCGGTGCTTATAACTCTGAAAAAAACATAAGTTCCATGAAAGGCACTTATTCAGGTTAATAGCACGTGAAGTTATAATTAGTTTGTTATCGCAGACACCCAGCAGAAGCGATCGACAGAATCATGGACGACGTGGTGAATCGGAAGGAACGCGCACGTTGTTGTCGCCGCAGATAAAGTTGGTTAACACATGAAGACAGACCAGTCCTCTGGGTCACATAAAGCTCAACTACATATCACTAGAGGAGCTGCGATTAGCAGGCAACAAATAAATTGGGTAGAATAGGCAAGTGGGGTGATGTTGTGACTGGGCTGGTGTCTGTTTCCCACGACGAAGGTCCATAGTATGCCGCCATCAGGACGCCTAGTTCCCCACGACCTGTCTCTGTAAATTAAAAGTCCACGATTGTCATTTTTTTATTTAATTTTTAACAACACACAGGCTTAGAGCCTCCTTTTCTAAAATAGCACATGACCGGTTGTCATAATAACAGATGAATTTTGTTTCTAAGAAGCGTCTAGCGGATTGTGAGCACGTATATATAATCTTCGCAAGACAAACCATCCTATTGTATGAAATAACAGCGCTTCAAAATCTGATCATTAGCAACGAGTGTCGAGATGTTTGTTTTAATGACTCTTAAGTTTTGTATATAAATGAGCACAAGAACAGATTCTATTTTTAGTTTATTACAAAATCATTTAATGCATCTCTATCATGTATAACTAACTTTTAGAGTTTTATAAGCTTATTTCCTGACACCTTTTGTGTGCATTTCAGTAATTGTTGGCGGAAACAGCACATGTTTATGGAAATATACAGAGTGGCCCAAAAGTGGGTATACAGCTGCATATGTTAAATCTAATATTTTGTAGTTGATAAGAAGATATAGGAATGTACCTATATGGACTTTTTCTTCTGAGGAGTACTCAAGGACAAAGTGTACAATAGTAAATCGCGGAATGTTGACGAAATGAAAGGGTACATCACAGACGCATTTACAGAACTTGATGGACAGACAGACTTGTGTCAGAAAATTTGCAGAAGTGTGGCAGGCAGACTCTAGGATTGTGTGAATAGTGACAAGTTTCAATTTGAACACCTGCGGAATTAACTCTCTCATAATTCCATGTCACGAATAAAGTGTCTTTAAATAAATTATCAGTTATCAACTGTACACTTTAATTGTAATTTAATTAATTTTAATATACATCCTTAACAACTGTATACTTACTTTTGAGCCACTCTTTAAATGCCAGTCATGGGAATAGTTTCTGTGTAGGACATGTCTTCTTCATAGGCAGCAGAACGTATCTGAATTTGGGGAGCACCGACGATTGGGACCCCTTACTTGCTATATTAATCATGACCACTGAATTAAAAATTAAACCAGCTACTTTCCATGATAGTTATACAAATATCTCCATTCCCTGTTCACAGGGGCATTTTGTTGACCACTGAATTAAAACTTAAAACGGTGACTTTCCATGATAGTTATATACAAGTCTCCATTCGCCGTTCAAAGGGGCATTTCGTTGACCACTGAATTAAAAATTAAAACGGCGACTTTCCATGATAGTTATACACAAGCCTCCATTCCCTCTTCACAGGGGTATTTTGTTGACCACTGAATTAAAACTTAAAACGGCGATTTTCCATGATAGTTATACACAAGCCTCCATTCCCTCCATTACCGGGTCAGAATTGTCTCTCATTTCCGTTACCTATATTCATCTATTACTGTTTTGAGGTCGAAACGAACTGGACAATCAGATTTCAATCATATTCTAATTATTGATGATTTCGTACATATATATTTATATTTAATATTAAGACCCCTCTGGTGGCATAGCGGTAAGCTTGCGAACTTTTAACGCTAAAAACCGGGTTTCGATGCTCGTGGTGGGCACAGCACAGACGGTCTATTGTGTAACTTTGTGGTTAACTGCAAACGAATTGAATTTTGAAAACTTCGACGCTACGTTTACGCCATATATTAGCAATAGTAAAGTAATTGCTGTATATATATTATGACCACATCGTATAATGTACGTAAAAGTTGAAAATACTGCTCATATACATCATCTTATTTAAAAAATAAAAAAGCAGTTGTACCAGTCGAAAACATAAAAGTAATGGATTAGAATTGTAAACCAATAACAAGGATTTTATCTATATGCAATACATAAAGCAATGGAAGTAATATATATATATATATATATAAACACAACGTGACATACACACACGTAGGAATAACAAACAATCCCAAACTAAGACATCTAAATTGTGAATCTGTTTACGGTATGAAACATAACAGAAAATACAAATAAAAAGTAAATAAGTTATACAATGCTCTAGTATTTTTATATTTGAATCCTTCATTGTACATGCACAGCATTACATATTGTTTTCATACTGCCACACAATTCATGATTGTGCGATTATAAAATGTTGTTCCAAATATTCTGTGTTACTCCACACAGTTTAACCGAGCTGTTTGGTCGCCTATCGACATTTTAATTTTTCACATAAGCCTCAAGAATGTCCTTACCTGGACTATGTGTAGGCCAAACCATGGCCATTTTCTATATGCTTGGGATAATTGTTTTGCTAGAAAATGAATACTCGCCCGAAGAGTCGTTTTTCCCAAGAGAATGATGATAGGTCAGAATCTGCCTGAACTTGTCATCAGTCATAGTGGCATCAATTTTGTGTATGGATTACCGACATTGTGCACAGAGATGTTGCCCCAAACTTGTGTTAATTCCCCACTATGCTTCAATGTAAATATTGTATCTTAACTTTGATATTATTCACTTCTCTCATGTTGAACAAATTTTCATTGGTTGTTGCCGAACAATTCGAACTTAGATTCATCTATAAAACCACACGTTTTCAGTTTTTTTCATTCAACTGTTTTCGAGCCGTTGCCTATTTTAATCTATTGGTTTGGAAAATTCAATCATCAGCAGGTTTCGATCAACTGCGCATCTGTTGAATCCACGTCATACTATTCTGAGGTAAAATTTAAACCTTTATTTACAACAGGGTCGTTGGCAAGACCTGTACTACTTCTTCGTCTATTTATCAAAAACACGTAGCTTTAGATACTTAACATCATTGTTGGAGAATTTCGATTTTCTACCTTGACTGCTTCTAGTAGCTTCCTCAGAGTATTGTGTACAGCTCTCACTGAAACACGGAGGTTAGCTGCAGTCTTTCGCAAGGAGAATCCTTGACCAGCCAAATCTTTAGTCCCTACACGCTACTAATGCCGTATTTCAGTCTTGGGAACCGTGATGAGATATACACTCTACTACTACTGACCACAGTAGTGCACTTTGCACATTCTGATCAACTCGATGATAGTGACAGTGTAAACTATCAGCACATGACTGTACTCTGGTGGAGTTAATGTTCACACGACAAATAAATGGTCTTCCCATAGTATTTAACATTTATAGCTTTTTTCCCCTCACTCTTTCCGGAATTATTTTTAATTCTGTAGATATATACACAGAAAAGAAATTAGCTGTTACTAGTAAGCATGTTGAAGTGGTTCCTTCTTGCTCCATCAGAATAGTCTGGCAGAAGTAACATTTTATAATAAAAGAAACGTTAAAATAACGTTAATTTCAACACTCATCTAGGAGTGTGACTTCACGTATTTAACTTTACTTACATATAAAACCCTTGTTACTGCTCTAGTTCTTCGTAAAGATAAGAATCAGAACCGGTCGAATATAATCTGAAGTCAGAAAGTTTATATTAATCAGTTGATAAGCCGAATGTAATCAGAAGTCAGAAAGTTTATATTAATCAGTTAATCAGCCGAATATAATCTCGCTGCTGGAGTCAGAAAGTTTATATTAATCAGTTGATCAGCCGAATATAGTCAGAAAGTTTATATTAATCAGTTGATCAGCCGAATATAATCTCGCTGCTGGAGTCAGAAAGTTTATATTAATCAGTTGATCAGCCGAATATAATCTCGCTGCTGGAGTCAGAAAGTTTATATTATTCAGTTGATCAGCCATACTTTTATTAGTACACAAATGCATACAGAAAACTGATTTTGACCCAATTAGTGCTGATTTAGGCTATTTCGTACCTCAAATTCTTGGAGTTGTGCTGTAATATAACTAGAATTATGAAGAAATCTTTAAGGAAGATAAATTCACATATTTAGTGATGATTTTGTGCTATTGTGTATCTCAAATTTCAGAATTTGTACTGTGCTACAACTATACTTATGAGGCAATCTTTATAAGTGTATGTTTGTATGTTGTAGCTGAGTCAGTGATAGTTGATACAGCATGAAATTGTAACACTCAGTTGTTAATAGTTTGGTACTTGTCAACCAATACGATAAAATATGTTTAATATTTCATCCAAAGGGGGACAGAACCCGAGTGTTAAATCTATGTGCTAAATCGGATAGTCTCATCCTGTCTTGTTATTATGATTTTAAGCAACGTTTACATCAAAATTTTATCGTAACTGTTGAACTAGCTGAGTGAAGTAACTTAACAAGAAATATGAACTTTTTTATTACAGATGAACCAACTGGAATACTTTTA